TAAAGCTGCTGTAACTCTTACCGTCAAGGCTTGGGGTGGATATGCATGTCCATTTCTCCTCTGTATTTACTTCAGTGGAGTAGAAGATTTAACCCAGAAAAATTAACTATCAAATGTAAGTGAAACTTATATACATTAATTTTAAAAAGTAAGTAGAAAAACGTGGACAAGACAGCAGTAGGAAAACTCACCCTCAGAGAAAAAGCACTGACATCCCATAAACACATCCATAGTTGTGTAATTTGAAAGACACTGCTTCCTACACATCACCTGCCAGGCTCGAAGCAAGCCATACACGATGATACCTTGGGGGAGTGGAAATTCTTCCTCTACAACTCTGGCATTCCAGCTACTCTGGACATTTTTGAGAGTAGACAGTAACCAAAATCTGTTCTAGATCACGTGCACAGAGATGTTCACTGCACTACCACTGTTCAGGATTGCAAATATTAGAAACCACCCAAGTATCAATAACTGGGGTCAGTAAGTAATCCCAACACGACAGTAGTCAAAAGGAATAGCCTAGCACTCAAATCAACAAGGGATAATCTAGAAAGTGTAATGTTGACTATGAAATCAAGTTGACAAAGGAGGCACACAGTAGTACAACGGAATTCCCACATTTTAATAGGAAAAAAGCCTGCAAAGCAACCAATCAACACACCGATGCTCTAAGTATATGATAAGCAGCTTTCAACATGACCTCCACTGATCCCAGCAATGTCCCCTCCACCAGAACAGGACTGCTCTGTGTGACCAGTGGAATAGGGTAGAAGTGGTGGCACGTCACTTCTGGTTACAAATAAAAGGCTGTGGCTCTCCAGGGACAGCTGTCATGGCAAAATTCCTGCTTGTGGTTATCCTGGCTTCTCCCCTTCTTGGGACCTCCAGTGTCTATTTCACTCTTTTTTTTTTTTAAGCCATTGGGGCTTGCTTTATTAATCTTCTAAGCAGGTTTGTGTCTTCCTGCTTTTAGGCCATGAATTTACAGATGGTGCCACAACATGGGTTCTGCCTCCTCCTACCATGTGGCCTTCCAGTGTCTCTCAGCTCCCTGGACCAGGCCTCTGTGCAGTTTTATCCCAGTATTCAATTAGATCCCACCATCTCCGTGGACTGCTCCGTCATCCTTTGCCAGACCAACAAACACATCTCCACGACCCTACCCAGCTGGAAGTAGTCCCAGAAGATGAGACCTCCTCCCACTAAACCCAGAACTGGTTTTGTGGTTCTGTCAAGAGGGAATGTGAGGGAGGCCCCCTGCTTATGAAAAAATGGCAGGAACAAAATTCCAAGAGCCAGGGGAATGAAGAAGGAGGGACAAAGCTTGTGAAATGTTCCCACGTGAGTGAAATTCAAACCATGATCTGAGGAAGAGACAACTCATCAATCAGGTCTACAAAAAGGGAGACAGCCAATCAAAAGTACAGTCACCCTAAGTACAAAACCTACTCTCAACCCATCTTTCCCTCTTAAGGGAATCCTAATAAATCTTAGCTTTTCTTTAAAAAAAACACGGTGGCACCGTCTTGGGTGTTCAGTTGCACTCTTTTTCATGACTCTCTGGGGTGACCTGGAGTCCTGTCCTGAGGACACTCAGGCAATAGGGGGATGTCCACACGGTGAGAAGTGGGGAGGTCTTGCCAACAAGCACGTATGTGAACTTTGAAGTCACATCTGCAGTCATCAACTCGCTGAGGCTCAGGAGAGACCCTGAGTCAGAGCCAGCCGGCTCCGTGCACCTCCAATACTGACTACAGTAAGTGCGTAGGAAGCCACAGTCAACAGATGCTAAGTTTGGAGAAAGTCACTGCACAATTGTCAGCTACTCCAAAGAGCATCATGAGCAGTAATTAAGAGAAGAGTACACAACAGCCCCAGGATAAAGGGTGGTCCTGGGGATGGGACTGGAGTGTTAGCTATACTTGCTTTTTATTCGTATGACAAACTTTTAAAAGAAAATATGACAAAGCGCCGTTTGTTTAATCTGGATGGTCCTAAGCATGCACATAAACGTACAGTCAGCCCTGTGTAGCCACCAGTTCTGGATCTGTGGATCCGACTGACCATGGATTGAAAACATATATATATACACTTGCTGGTGGCTCATGCCTATAATCCAAGCCACTCAGGAGGCAGAGATCAGGAGGACTGGGATTGGAGGCCAGTCGCCACCCTCCCCCGCCAAAAGAAAGGAAAGCAAGATTCTATCTCAAAAAATACCCAACACAAAAAAGGGCTGGTGGAGTGGCTCAAGTGGTAGAGCACCTGCCTAGCAAGCGTGAGGCCCTGAGTTCAAGCCCTGTATGTGTATAGCAATATAATATAAGCGCTCTTACATTGTGTCAGATATCAGTTAAAGTAGAGGGAAGATGAGATTGGCTATGCACAAATACACTGCCTTTTTACACAAGTGATTCGAGCCTCTGTGTATTTTGGTACCTGAGATAAATTCCTCACAGATACTGAGGAATGACTGTATGATTTTCTATAATTTAAAACATTTCATTCATTACTTAAACGTTTTATAATTAAAAATGAAGACTTTACAAAAGAAACCCAGTGTCTCTCCTGCATTTGTTACAGTACTGTAGAGCACTGGCTGGCTCCTTAATTGCAGCTCTGAGGAAAGTAATTACTCTAATGGCTGAATAATTTGCACAGGGGGAGAGACACATACCAGGGGTCTGCTCCCACAGCTGCTAAATCAAATGTTTAAGTAAGTACTGAAACCTTAAATACATCTAAAAAAAGAAAAACAACCACAAAAACTTATATAAAAGCACCCCTGAAAGAATTCAGGACAAGTGCAGAAAGCAATGCTGTCCTGCCTGAAGACACTTCATATTAACCCATTTCCAACAGCAATCCACTTAGAAAACACATGGTTATCACAGTCTCCGCGGTATTAAGCAGACGGGGTGATGGCTGTTGCCATAGTAACCCCTCCTTTAATGGTATTTAACAAGAGAACAGAGATTGTAGGCAAAATTGCCTTAGTTAAGATTCCCTCAGTTAAAAAGAAGTAAAATCTTCCCATTTGGGAACTACGATGACATTTCATACCACACTGTCTCATTTATAACAGCCTAACAGGCTGAACCCAATAATGCACTGCGAAAAGGTAAACATTTACTCATGACAACACTAAAAACATGACAAGGCTTAAGGACACCAAGTCTGTTCACCACACAGACACCAGTCAGTGATATTTAAGAAGCTACACTGCCACATGTCGTATATGCAGTAAGGTTGGGCAGTTTTATTTTAATGGACTATAAATTGGCCTAGGAGTCCAGATATAGATTCCCCTTTCGATCTCATTTTCCTTCTCTTCCCCAACGCGTTACTGCACTTTTAGAGATGCTGGTATACTGACACAGGATAGGAAGTACCCCTAGCTGCTCTGTCTACCAGGGTTCCTGTGCTAAGACAGGGACGATGTAGGTATCAAGACAGGGACAGTAGAGGTGTCAAGAGAGAGGTGAAATCCCTCCCTCTCTGATGCACTCACCTCCCTCGTCCTCTCCTGAAAGCTTCTGCTGGTTTGTATCAGTGTGGCTTCCTTGAGGCTCTCAGACGGTTGTTCCAGCCTCCCTCCTGGTCCTCAGCTCTACCTAACTTTTAAGGCCTCTTCCATCAAGTTTGTTTTCCCAACTTTCAACTACAGGGAGCTCCTGCATTTCACTCTGACCCCTCCCCCACATTTCTTCTATTCCACTTCCTTGTTGTCAGTTCTTTGACCTTGTGCTTGTTTAATTTTTCCCACCTTCAGCACACAGGACTTGAGAATTTTTTCTGTTCCTGATGCTAGGGCCAACATATCAAAAGTTTTTTTCAATCCTTGGAAATCCTACTTTAAAACACTGCAGTTGTCCCTGTCACCTCTCCAATACAGGCCCTCTCTCTGTCATCTCCAGCAAGTCAGTCAAGTGTCCACTTACCTCCTCCTGGCCTGCCTGCACTGCTGGTCACAAGTGATAGTAGGTGGAACGTGAAAATGCCTTGAGCTCTGCAACCTGGGGAAGGGGGCAGGCTCAGGGGCTTCTCCATCCTATGACCTCTCCTGTAAGACCTGCTCGATCCTCAGGCTGGGCTTTGCAGAACACCACTGTGTGCCTCCACATTTAACAAATGTTGACATTTTGTCATATTTTGTTTAAAAGTCTGTCATACTAATAAAAACCAAGTATAGCTAATACCCCGGCCTGTTCCCAGTCACCCTTTATCTTGACATTGATATGTATTCTTCTTATAAATTACTACACACTTAGTATTTTACTAGACAGCTGTTAAGTGTTTTGTAGACCTGCAAAAGAGGTCTCGGGGAGAAAGGGGCTCCTTGGGTACATTGCTTTAGGGTTTGAGAAATAGCAATGCTAGGTCTTCACTTCTTTTTACTTTTTTGGTGACACTGGGGTTTGAACTCAGGGCCTCATGCTTGCTAGGCAGTCACTCTACCACTTGAGCCACTCTACCAGACCATGGTCTTCACTTATTTTATATTGAGGACTGCTTTGAGGAAAAATATACATATCTTATATGCGAATTTTCCTCCTATCATTTTCATTTGAGTGTCAAAAACTGCCATTCAGGGACTGAGAATATAATTCAGTATAACCACATGCTCAGTATGAAGGAGGCCCTGGTTCCATCCCTAGCAGCAAAAGAACAATACAAAACAAAATTAATTCAACAACAACCAACCCCCACCCCCCCGCAGCCTTGTCATCCTGGTCAGAGAAGCCATTTTTGTTTAACACGAGAAAACCAAGACTAGCATTTCATTCAGCATTTGCCACGCGCTGAGTGCCGGACTACAAGTTTTACACGGATTAGCTCATCCCATCTTCTCAGCAAGCCCAGGACCCATTTTATGCATAAGATCCAATCCCTGATGACAGGCAGTGAAACAATTCCCTGGCGATTGACGAGCCATCCAGCATTGTTCCAGGTCAGTACATGTCACAGACACCCTGTTCCCCCCGAGAAACTCTCACCTGCACAAGGACTCGCTGCAAAGCCCACCCTCTTGTGAGCTCTGTCGAAGACCACGTAGAAGCCCTCCATCACTGTCGCACCAATCACCAGCGCATTCGTGGAAGGGGAGACGCCGAATCGGTAGCACTCATAATTCAGGCCAGCCCCCATCATGGGCTGAATGTACAACTGTTTGTCAAGGGGAGAGATTGACAAGAGAAAGCACAAATTAGCAATGTCACACAACAGTGGAGGTCACGCTTGCTCAGAGCCCCCGAGATGCTCGGAGAAACCAAAGAGAGAGACAAGTGGCAGTGTGGTTCCTGTCATCCAGGAGATTTGAAGATTGAACATGTGGCAATAAACTTTATAGAGAAGGGCAGAAACATGGGCGCAGGCACAACACCTGTAGCTTACACAGCACACACAGACAGGTGCCCGCCCCTCTGTCTATGTATGATCAAACTGACACCTGAGAGAAGGACCTCACCACACTTCCTGCCCATGTGCAGGGAAAGGAGCGGGGAGCCATCTCAGGGCAGGAGCTGGCTCCCTCCAGCACCATGAACAGCTGGACATCAGGCAGCATCCATCCCAGGGAACGGTCCTGCAGGAGTAGCTACACCACAGTCGGAACATCTGTCTGCAAATGCTGCCTCAAGGCAAGGAGTCACTTAGCTCTTCCCTCGATTGAGTACGGCCTCAATGAATTTTGTGAGTGAGCACTAAGCTTGACCAATGTTACGCAGAGTGGGCAACTCAGGAAAAGGTGGGGAATATGTTTAGCTGTTACAGACGCATCTGCACCTGAGGGTCTGAGAATAGGTCTCAGGTGTGAATACCAGCACCCCTTTCCAGCTACCTCAGAATGAACTAATTCCCTGAGAAACCCAAACAATTACTTATCAAACATGATGTGATCCCTACTGATGCAAACAAACATTTAGTCACCAAACATTAGACAAACTGGATTTGTATCTTTCTCTGTGTGCCCAGTGGACATCCAGAAAGAATTCTAGACCATCCATCTTGTAACATGTTGGGAAGCCCCAGTTTTCTGAACCTCAGACTAAACTGTCTACCTTAAACCAAAGTAGCATAAATAAACTGGTAGTGATTAGACTGAAAGTACACACATTTTTAAGATTATGTGAAAAAAATCAGAATTCCCTGTAGACTAGGGTTCCAGGTTGCTTTTTTTATCAAGCCAAACTGATCTCAATTATGTATTTTAGAAAATAGTGTTGAGAATACATAAAATCTGAGATGCTTGCCTCTGACCTATTTCCTGTACTGGTGATCATTAGCCCACCTATTATTGCCAGTGCTGAAAGGTCCTATGGTGGGACCTGATCCCATCCTAATATTTTGGTGACATGAGTTTTGATTTGCTGCTAGGAAATGACTCTGCAGCGCCACCACTGGTGAACTCAGGAAGTGCAGCTCCTGGGACCTCAGCTGATCTTTTCCCAACTTATCATCTCTGTCCTCTCCCAGCAAGAGGGTGGAGAAGTGGGTAAGAAACCAGCAAAACAGACCTATAAAAGTGAAATATGTGAGCATGTCAAAGTCAAGCCCAAATGTCTCCATAAGTGAGAGTTACAATGAAATCTTAGGCAGACAGGCCCAGACCTCCCTGTGAGAGCCAACAATCCCCTGTGAGCCTTCAGCTCTGATGGCCGTCACCTGCCCCAGACAGAGAGATTGATCCCCTGAATGTCTGCTTTTTCCCTCCTCCTTCTCACAGGTCCCCGAGCTAACCAATCCTCATGCCATTTATTTCCTGGTACACGGTCACCTTTGTCCCTGAGCTGGGTCTGGCCATTGGTTACAAACCACACTGACAAAATAACATCCACATTTTGCTGTTTGACTGACCACAATGTAATCATAAAGAACACATTATTCTAAAGATGCTGAAAATATATCATAGCAATATCACTCCATGCAGGGCGACTCACCCAGGGTTATTGCCTTCTTCTGAAAATATCTTTGGCAAGTATTATTATTTCTCTTTTATAGTGAAAGAGTCAGACACAGAAAAGGTAAGTGATTTGCTCAATGTTATGGCAGGAGCCAAGGTTGGGGCTGAGACTATAATCAAGCCTCTTGTGTCCAGAGTACATGGCTCTATTGAGCTGTACTCTTCTTGAAGTTCCCAATCCTTTCCCCCTCAAGACCTAGCTGTTTATTGATTGTTCAGCAAAAGGAAATGGGGAGGATGGGAAAGGCAGTATTACCATTACTTTTTTCATTTTATTCCTCTTTCCTTATCCCTCACTGCCAGCCCTTTATCCCCCAAACCATCAAATTACTGATGCATCCATTTGACACGTGGTTGTTATGCACCTACCCTCTATAGTCTTCTGGTGTTGGCAAAGGAGGGATAATTTCTCAAAATGCCTGGGACTCATCTTCATCTTTGAGGAATTAATAATTAATTGAGGAGGAAACATAAGATTAAAAAAAAAAAAAGGAAACAGAAGCCAAATGAAAAAGTCAAGAGCATAAAATACACCCCAAAGATGTGATTCCATGCCAGATGAGGAGGCTGGAAATATGCACTATGCATTTGAAGGTCAAGTTGACAAATGGGTTATTCTGCTCAGCAAAGTTCCAACAAAAGCAGGGCTGTCTGAGCCGAGTCTTTAAGGAGGAAAGCATTTGGGGAAACAGAGGGAGGAGGGAAGAGATGGCATTTTAGGCAGGAGGCTGGTAGACCTAAGTCTAGGAGTGGGAACAGGCAGGCTGCACTGCCAAATAGATGGACAGAGACTTCCCGGCAGAGGGTCAGGGTGTGGCAGGGCCCTGGCAGAACAGGAGGAACAAGTTTGCTGGGGAGACCACAGGAAGCCAGGCAGGGAGTGAGCCACCAGGATTTGAACTTCAGGATCAGGGAGGAGAGGAAGAAAGCTGTAGTTCAGGAAGATTAACCTGAAAATTGTCTTTAAAAAAGAGGAGAGGGTGTATTGCAGAGAGGGTGGTGTGTAACAGACCTGAGCGAGGGCTGTGGGATCCAGGAAGAAGAGGGACCAAAGGGGAAGGCGGCTGAGGAAGACAGAACCTGGTATATGCAGTTAGATGCTTAGGATATAAAGGAGGTGCCCCTGGTTACTACACCTTGAGCCACTCCACCAGCCCTTTTTAGGGATGGGTTTTCCAAGATAGGGTCTCATGAACTATTTGGCCAGGCTGGCTTCAAATTGTGATCCTCCTGATCTCTCTCCTGAGTAGCTAGGATTACAGATGTGAGCCACCAGTGCCTGGATCAGTTTTATCCTTTATTGATACATGAATAGGAAAAATGGTCAAATGGTGTTGTGGCAGACATTATAAGATGTCCTCAGCTTTTCACTTTTCCTTGTGGTTTCTTTACCATGTGGCTCCTCCTACTGTAGAGCACATGTCCCCAGCCTTAAACTGGGACTGTCCTTGGGCTCCTTTGGATGGGACTATGGAGGAAGATGGTGGCCAGGTGTGGGCTGGGGCTCCAGAGGACTCTGCAGAATTCTCAGAACCAAATCTTGTTACCACATGAGTCAGCCACTAGATGCAGAGACACATGTTCCCTTCATGTCACCAACCCTCTCCCCAGAAACGTGAGTGAGGCCATTCTTCAGCACCTAAGCTGAAGCCAAGCTAACCAGAAACACATGAGCCAGCTTGGCGGAGACCAGCAGACCTGCCACCTCTGAGCAGGCACCCATGTAGTCACATTATTGTAGCAACAGGTGTCTAGTACAGGTGTGACACCCAGCGAGCATGTGCTTTGCACGAGGTGCTGTGGCTTCTGTGTGGTCCATGTAAAACAGGAGGAAAACACAGATCCAAGTTGGTACCTGTGGCAGGATGGTGATACGGAAGGACTGGCTGGAGTTCTCATCTCGCAGGTAGATGGAGATCTTCGGGAAATAGGACCAAGGTGTTTCGGAATTCGTCCAGCATGCCAACTGGGCCCCAGTCCAGAAGCCGTCAGAGAATTCTGGAATCTAGACAAAACAAGATCCCATGAAAAGCAACAACCAGTCTGGCACATAAACAGGAAATAGCTCTTGGCTCTACTGATCCCCCTGCCAGATGCCCATGGGGATAAACCACGTTTCATTTGGATGGAGTGGCAGGGACATCAGTCCCCTGAAAGAGGGATGGAGATGACAAGACAGCAATTATAAAAATTGCTAAGACGCACAGAGCACTTCCTGGTATTAGACACTGTTATAGACCACAAGAATGACTTCAACCTTCCAACGCCCCAACCAGCACGGCAATGCTACCTCTTCACTTTACAGATGAGGAAACCAGGGCATATGGAGGTGATGTTCACTCACCCTAGGTCACTCTGTCATGGACAATGGCTATTTAGAAGAAAGAATCCTAAGTATGGATTCTGGATTCCATGAGTCCAGCCAGTTACAGCCTCCTGGAACAGCCCAGAGTGGGCCCTGCTCTTTCTGAACACATCTCACTCCTCTTCACCCCTCAACTTGGATGCCACCAGGTCCAGAAAGGCTTCCTGGGCCCCTGTGACACCAGCATGCTGCTGTGTTTCTCTCCTGCTTGGCGTTCTCCTTGGGCAGTTCACAGTGATACTTCCTGGATGATGAACTATTTCCTATGCTTCGGACCTAGGTCCCTTCAGGACAGAGGTCTCCTACCTGTACCCACAAACGTGTGTGGCTCACCACACAGGGCTGACACCTGTGTACAATGTGAGACTCAGAGGACAGGTGGGGAAAAATGAAGGATAGGCAACCAGGGATCAAAAGGCAGCCACCAACAGAGGACATCTGCTGTCTCCTCTCCCTCACCTTCACTCACCACCCAGGGCTGGAAGGTGCCACTCATTCACTTACAGCCGAGGGGAAGCTGCAGGTGTGTCATACTCAAGCCCACTTCACAGTCACAGTTTCTGAGCAGAGTCTGCCTGGGGCAGCCACCCTGGGAGAAGGACCCTGCATGATGTGCCCCTGGTAACTCATCCAGCATAGTGTCCAGTAAGGGGCAGAGCAAGGTGATGAGGGAGGAAAGCAGCCCTTCTCCAGTAGGAAGAAGCAAGAGCTGAGCCGGAGACTATGGCACAGTCCTCGGAGGAGGAGGTGGGCCATGGTAAGAGTGCTTGTAGGAGTGCTTGCATGGTGGGCTCACACCTGTAATCTTAGCTACTTGGGAGGCTGAGAATGGGAGGGGATCTTGGTTCAAGGCCAGCCTAGGCAAACAGTTTGC